ATAACTCGTTAACGGTGCCTCGGAGAACATTTTTGTAAAGGAAGAAGTTGCTTCAAATGATCCGAGGAACCCGCCATTTCCGGATTGCGAGACATTTTTGGGACACCCTGTAGACTGTTGTAAATCGATGTGAAGACAAAAGAAGTGTGAAATAATGCATACGAAGACGATTATTTGGTTCAAACGATGTTACTAGAGCAAGTCACTATAGTGGCGCGTCGTCCAGAGAGATGACATCCGCGAAAGCCACTACAGTGGCGTGTCGTTCTGAAAGATGATATCCGCGGAAGCCACTATAACGGCGCGTCGTGCCTGAAAGGTTAAATGGTATTAGAATATTAGTGTGATTGCTGGCGCCGGCCGGATGTGGAATAATTGATCCGTGATTCGGTGATGAGAATTTGAAGAGACGTTCGAGATTGCGTGTCGGATTGCATGCTTAGACTTTTGTTCCGTACGAACGGACATTTTGCAAAGCTTTGTCAAATTTCACGGATGCGCGATAAGGGAATACGACGGAACGGAAGCAGTCTATTCCGGGTGTCCGTTTTAAGGACGAGTAATCGCACAGGAAGGAATGGCTCGTAATGGTCGACATTTGCAATAGTAGCGAATTGGTCGTGTCGGACAATGCGAATTGTTTGAAGCATCGAATGGCCGAATAGTCTCGGATATAATTCTCTAATATTTTTCGTAGTTCAGGCGACCGTTCTTGTACTTTTCGGAGTTGTTCCTCTTAAATGAATCGTCTCTGTAATAAACGTTAATTAAATTAAAGAAAAAGTACTAGGTACCGACGTTCCAACGCTCTAAAATTTTGTCGTCGTTTCGCTGTTTTTCGTTGTTATTAATAACCACCGCGGTAAATAAATAAATAAATGAAACAATAACTTAATATAAATTTAAATAAAGAAATATATAATATAAATATAAATAACTCGGTATCGTTTGTTATTCAGCTATTCAGATGAATATTTGACACACATTCTTAAACATTATAAACGATAGGAGCGTTATGACACCGTTTTAATTTTTTACTCTGACACCATTTTAATTTCATCGAATGTCTGTCAGTTCATTTTGGGATATTCGAAACGTCGAACGTCTGACGAATCGATGAATTTTAACGAGGACGCGGTTGGAATATGTAGCACTTTATAAAATATTTAATATCTGTAAAATATTTGTAAAAAAATGTGGATCTTCGAATATTACACAATAGAAATAAAACTACCGATGTTATGTTTGTAAAGAAAGCGATCAAGGGTCGTATTTCACGTTCAGCAATTATTCAATTGTTCTCCTAGCACGCGTCGTCAAAAATATCCAAGGAATCATGCTTTATTTTATATTATATAAAAAATTGTATCATACATTTATCGGAAACGATAATAATGGATATTTAATAATATAATAATAATTTATAATAATTTATAATAATAATAATAATTTAATAAGCGATATTTAATGGAACTCGATCGACGAGACTCTAACAGCACCTAATGCTATCTAAAGTATTAGAAGCTAAAAAAAAAGCTAACACTATCTTGGAAGTTAACAACGTCGCAGAACACCCTGTATATTGCTGTCATGAATGCCCAGGGCTACATGAGCGGTTAACGGAGCGAGTGAATCTGTGTGTTTAATCCGCACACCTTGACCTCCTGCATGTGACGTCATTGTATCGTGACGCATTCGAATTGGAACGTCATCGAAGGCTCGGCTCAGGAGCGTCGACCTACTGATGAAAATAGTCTTAAGGCCTGCGGCACTATGTATAGTTGATCTTATGATCGCGTGCCACCCCTTTTAAATTGTAATCAACTATTGGCTTTTTGAGTACGCCGTTCCCGAAACTATAATAATCACTTAACACGTACAGTAAATTCGCCCTAATCGACGTTCAGATTGTGCACAAAAATGGACAATTTGCGAAGAGAAAATACTATTATTCGAGCCTCGCGGCTTATTTTTATAGTCTCAGATTGTCAATAATTATAAAAACGAGACGCAAGGCAGGAATAATCGAGTCTCCTCTTCACAAATTGTTCATTTTCGTCTACAATGTGAGCGTCGATTAGGGAGAATAATCAGGACTAATGATACTTGGAGCTCAATAATTAGGACTTAGAATAATTAGGGCTCAGATTAAGTAGGGCTCAATAATTAGGGCTCAAATTAAGTAGGGCTCAATTATTAGGGCTTAGAATAATTAGGGCTTACAATAATTAGGGCTCAGAATAATTAGGGCTCAGAATAATTAAGGCTAAGAATAATTAGGGCTCAGAATAAGTTGAGCTAATAATAATTAGGGCTCAGAATAATTAAGGTTAAGAATAATTAGGGCTCAGAATAAGTTGAGCTAATAATGATTAGGGCTCAGATTAAGTAGGGCTCAATAATTAGGGCTCAGATTAAGTAGGGCTCAATAATTAGGGCTTAGAGTAATTAGGACTTAGAATAATTAGGGTTCAGAATAAGTTGAGCTAATAATAATTAGGGCTCAGAATAATTAGGGCTCAGAATAAGTAGAGCTAAGAATAATTAGGGCTCAGAATACGTAGGGCAAAGGATAATTAGGGCTCAGAATAAATCGGGCTAATAATAATTAGGGCTCAGAATAATTAGGACTAAGAATAATTAGGGCCCAGAATAAGTCGGGCTAATAATAATTAGGGCTCAGAATAATTAGAACTCGAATAATCTCCCCGTCCCAAATTGTCCATTTTTGTGCGCGATCTGGGCGCAAGAAAATTGACAAGCGAGGATGAAAAGTTGTCCAATTTTTATTTTCAGGGATTCGAGGAACACTCTTCCAGATTTTCCTTGAGAAATTCGAAAAGTCTGTGCTGCTTTTATGAGTCACGGCCGCTATAGCAGCACACGGCAACCATGTTCTTTTCTTATCGAACGTCCCACATAAGAACGCGGAACAGTTTTTCACCGAGTCATTCAGCAATTTGAATAATAAACTCGACCGATCGTTCGATTCGATAACTGTATCACGGAGAATTTAATTAATTAGGATACAGAAATTCTCTGCTCGACACTCCCTTTTGATAGAATTGATTTCGTATCGATGAAGACGGCAGGGCTATCTGAGATAAAGATATCGGTTTGATCGCCCGATAAAGCGAGAATGTCGACGTGCGAAATCAAATTCGCCGAAATTAGTATCTCGCTCCGATGCGCGTCCATTATTTGCCGACAATAAGTAAATTTCCATGGAATAATAACGACAATAGCATTATCACAACGTTTTTATTGCATTCGATAAGAAAGTAGTTCACGTTTCGTGCGAAAAACTTTTTCTACGTGAGATCAAGTAATACTTAATTCTTTGACATGTAGAGCACCACGGTTTGTCATGTTCTTTTTTTATAAATATCGTAGATAATTGTTCGAACTATCCGACCAAATTCTATCTTATTATGTAATGTTGCGTTTTTAATGTCGAACGAGAAGTAGATAATAATCGCGTTTTATATCTATAATTATGTTTACATTGTATTTAGCTTTTAATAACGTTTGATCGAACTATGATAACTTATCGATAGTAGTGTCGTCATCAGTATCGATAATAATCCTCCAGAAATGCTGTTGGCACTGTTCCCTGAAAAAGAGAATGATATATTCGATTTAACGGAAACGGTTAACACGATTTTTCTATAAATCACACGCTGTGTAGATTGACTAAAAAAAGAGTTAAAAAACTAGAGTTTCTCATCTCTTTTTGTCGTCCCAAGTAATAGCAAAATTGAAAGAAGGTATTATTTTAGTCATCGTCTGGTAGACTAGTCCTTCTGTCATCTAAAAGAAATACGAGTCGCTTAGTTGAGTTTTAAAAAAGTTATTACGTTCGAGAATGTGTACGAACACTTTTGTGGCCCACTGTACATATACGAATACCAATGATAACCAGACTGCGGATTTTAGATATTTATGACAAATCCGAGTACAGTAAATTCTGCCAAATTGATAATAATAAGTATATTATTGTTATACTCCCGTATATAATATAATAAGTATATTATACTTATATTATAAGTAGTAATATTTTGGGGTGTCCCAAAATTATAGTATGTCTGAGAAACGAGGGATTCTTGAGGTGATTTGAAGCAACTTTTGTCTTTACAAAAATTTTCTCCGAGGCATCGTTAACGAGTTATTAACGAAAAACAGTGACCAATGGGAGGCGAGTTCGCTCGGCGAACCAAGCCAATAAACGGAACAGAGTACCGTGCGCTCGTTGGCTCGGCCGTCGCGCGCCAGCCAAACTCGCCTCCCATTGGTCATTGTTTTTCGTTAATAACTCGTAAACCGCGCCGCGGATTGCATTTTCGCTGAGAACAAAGTTACTTGAAATAACCTCAGGAACCTCTCATTTCCTGGAAGAGCCATAATTTTGGGACACCCTGTATACTGCCGTATAATAATAACTAGTAACAAAAGTAATAAAAATAGCAGTAATTGATCGTATCTCCTCTTCCCAAATTGCCCAATTTTGTGTACAAGCCGAGGGTCGATTAGGCAGAATTCACCGTTGATCTAACGCAAAACAGTAAAAACATTTCAGTTGAAAATAAAAAAAAAAGAAATTTAAAGCTCTCGAATTATATTCAACTGGATAAAACGATTTAGAAATAAAATAAAAGTATCTAATAAAAAAGAAAACGAAATTTAAAGCCGCTCTCGAATCACATTCAACTTAATAAAACGATTTAGAAATAAAATAAAAGTATCTAATAAAAAGGAAAACGAAATTTAAAGCCGCTCTCGAATCACATTCAACTGGATAAAACGATTTAGAAATAAAATAAAAGTATCTAATAAAAAGGAAAACGAAATTTAAAGCCGCTCTCGAATCACATTCAACTGGATAAAACGATTTAGAAATAAAATAAAAGTGTCTCTCCCGTATCGCTTAACGAGCGCAGAGCGCAATTGTTATTTTCCATAAAAATCCGCAGTCCGGTAAACAGCAAGACGTTTCAGACAAGTGTTTTTAGTGCCAGCACTTCGGTGCCAAGGGGTTACGCTTCCCAGGAACATCTTTATTCGGCCGCCTCGTGTTCCGAGGAAATGCACGTTCCCGATGTGCCGCGTCGCCTTGCAGGTATGTCGTAGGTGTTATCAGCGTCTAGGATCGGAGAAATTGCAACGCAACTTCGGGCCGAGACGGCATGCGACTGGTCGGAACGTAATTGCGAGCACATTACATACCCGGCCGCATAAAACTTGTTCCATGCGCGACTCAAAAAACTACTCGTTAAAGTTTCGACCCCCGTTCCCCTCTCCATTCCATCGTCGGGAATCAAATGCAAGGGGGACCTTTTCGATCGGTCACGAGTCAAGGTTACGTGCTTACCGTTATTCTGATATCGAGCATTCGTACGTGGCGCGCACGTAGTGTCATTTTCTCGAATGTAAGCCCAGTCGCATGCGCAACGGCCGTTCCTGCACGTTACCCGATAGTCGTTCGAACTCAGATAGCAATCCCCGAGATTTGTGCAGCTGTCGCCGAGAACTGTAACAAACGAATCACGGTGGTCATTGAAAAATAGTATCTCGACACTAATCTCGACGCTAATAATAATGTAATATTGGGTTGGCAACTAAGTAATTGCCGATTTGTTCAATGAAATAAAAAATTCTTTTACTTGGAACGAAGTTTAATCTGTAATGTATTTTCCATTTTGTTCGATGACCTTTTGCCATCTCTCTGACAACTTGAAAATTCCCCGCTCGGAGAAAGTCTGATCCTTTTCGGCCAAAAACTGAGTTAAGTGAGATTTTACAGCGTCATCGTCGTTAAAAGTTTTACCACGAAGGGAGTTGTCCAGGGATCGAAATAAGTGGTAATCCGATGGCGCGAGATCAGGGCTATATGGTGGGTGTAACATCGATTCCCAACCAATATCCATCAATTTTTGCCGAGTGGACAAAGACGTGTGCGGCCTAGCATTGTCCTGCTGGAAAATGACACCTTTACGATTGACCAATTCTGGTCGCTTTTCCTTGACCGCTGCATTCAATTTGTCCAGTTGCCAACATTCACGGATAATAAAAAATAACATAATAATAATAATAATAATTTTATAATATAACATTTACGGATATCATAAAGATGGGAGTGAGAGACATCTATAACTGAAATCGGCAATCACTTAGTTGCCAACCCAATATATAATAATAATAATATAATAAAATAATCGGCACTAATCTCGATACTAATTAGCGAAACGAATATTAATTAATCGCCCGATCTCGGATACACTTGGCACAATACCGTGCACTCCCAGAAATCTGCCGTTTTGATTAAAAACACCTGCGAAAACAAGTGGTCGCTGAAAAATTCATTGAAATTAATAAGAAAGTGGTGTGTGACTGCATCTAACCCTTTGCACTCGAGTGGCGGCTCAGAGGCACCACTAAGATATTTTATATCGCGTTTTAAGATAATTTTTATATTAACAAAGTTATGTCAAGGTTATGTCAAGGTTATATTAAGATAATTTTTATATTAACAAAGTTATGTCAAGGTTATGTGTATATATAAAGTGGTGTGTGACTGCATTTAACCCTTTAATTATTTGACAAATTGTTAAACCTGTAACTGTTGCACGAGTTGTAAGATTTCGTGTGCATGAAATGCACTATAAATCGTTACAAAATGGAAATACTGTAAGTCGGAACAACTATTTCGGATTTAAAGTTAAAATGACATTGTCTGCTAAGGGTTAATAATTATAGTAACTTATATATAATATAAAATAATAATAATAAAAATGTTCTGAGATTTTATCTAGACATTTGTGCCAAAAATGCATGAAATCTGCAGTCCACATAGAATACTATGTTCGGAGGAGTATTTCTTACAAAGATATTCAAAGACGAATTTGTATATATATTTTATCGTTTTAAGCTTTTGTTTGAAGTTCTTGCAACGTGACGGTATTTAAGAACAACATGTGACATGATTTTATTTAAAAACAACGTTCGACATGGTTCCATTGAAGCAATAATTCAATGCGACATTATCTTCCTCACAATTCGTTATAATGCTCGCGATAAAAAGTGGATACCGTAATTATTACCAAATCACGAAATTGAATAAACTGTTATAAAGGAGGATACGAAAGTATATTTACCTTTTTTCACGTTGCATCTATCAAATTTGTAATTCCGATCGTCGCCGCAGCCGCATATTTTATCTGTGTCTGTCAGACTTATACAAGTTGCATTTGGCACCACGGCGGAACACTGAATGTCCAGGTCACAAGGCGATCCAAAGGGTGCAACTGGTAAACGAGAATGCATACTGCATTATGTAAGCTGGATTTCATTTCATTACAATCTTTTCTCTAATCGTTTTGCATCGATTTTTATTATTTATTAAGGACAAATATAGAAATATTTGGAACAAATATTTAAACAAATATTTATAAGACAAATATAGAAATATAGAAATATTTTATTTATTAAGGACAAATAGAAAGCAGAAAGCGTCGACGATTGTCATCCAGGAAAAGCTACTTTTTCTTTGTCACATAACGATGAAACAGAACATTTCGTTGTTAAAAGGAACAAATATAATTGAAAGTTATTATGTGTTTTTATAACATATTATATATATATTTTTTATTTATACCGTGCAAAATTATTTGCATTTGAAATATGATGAATTTCTGATTGTTAGCATTCGAGTCGGAAACTATTCTTGTCACTGCTATATTATTGCTATATTATTAAATAAATATTTTACATTAATAACAAGACTGATAGATAGAACAGTGGCTGTGAAGTTCGACGATAATGGAGAATGCGAACTCAACGAATGTAGATTATTAAACATTCTGTCTCGACAATGTAAGAAATAAAAACGGAAAACAGATTATGTTCAATTTATTCTAATTACACGTGCTTACCTGCTACGCAAGATTTAAACGAGTCTGACACATAATCTTCTTTGCAAGTGCAAAGCTTTTCTCGGCAAATCGAATTTTTCGGTTGGCATTCCGTGTCGTTGGCGCAATCAGAGCCAATACCTTGGATGTTAAACAAAACATCAATATATAATAAACATATATACATATAATAAAATATAATATATAATAATATATTAAAAAAATATAATATTAAAATATAATAATATATTCTCAAATATTTTATATAAAATAATATAACAATATACAATAGAAATATTATTATAAAATATAATAATATATTCTAAAATATTTTATATAATATAATATAACAATATACAATACAAATATTGTTATAAAATATAATAATATATTCTAAAATATTTTATATAATATAATATAACAATATACAATACAAATATTGTTATAAAATATAATAATATATTCTAAAATATTTTATATAATATAATATAAAGATATACAATAGAAATATTATTATAAAATATAATAATATATAATAAAATATATAAAATGCCCCTCACAGGATCGCATTATTTTACCTATGTAATTCTCCAAGCATGTAGTATTGTCTGCATTGAGATGGGTACCACTTGGACAGACACAAACGTTTTTTTCGCAAGCCAGCACTTCCCCTGTACCTTTCATGCGACAGTCGTGGTCTTTTTGACATTGTTCGCCGAGTCCTTTCGTCGACCAGCAAAACAATTCGGACTCGACGAAGTGCGATCTCTCGTTGCATACACATTTCCCCTCTACGCAGATACCGTCCGGCCCAAAAGTCCAGCACTGCGCGTTGTACTGGCAGCTCCAGTCGAACTGTTTCGCAGCTACGGTACAAGAAATTATTCGTTACAACGGAACAATTGAGATTACAACATAACACAGCATATGTACTTATAACATGTACAGGATGTCCCAAAAATGTCTCATAATTCGAAAGTGGCGGGTTCCTCAGGCCATTTGAAGCAACTTCTTCCTTTGCAAAAATTTTCTCCGAGGCACCGTTAACGAGTTATTAACGAAAAACAGTGACCAATGAGAGGTGAGCTTGCCTAGTTCGCTAGGCGGCCGAGCCAATCGGCGGAATTGGGCTCCGCGCGCTCGTTGGCTCGGCTGCCACGCGCCAGCATATCTCGCCTCTGATTGGTCAGCGTTTTTCGTTAATAACTCGTAATCGAAGCCGCGGATTGAATTTTTGCTAAGGAAAAAGTTACTTCAAATTACCTCAGGAACCACCCGTTTCCAGATTGCGTGACATTTTTGGGAGATCCCGTATAAGTAGACTACTGTGGGCTTCACGTATTTGCGACAGAACAAATGTTACACAAAACGATGGAAACGTCGGAAGAGAAGAGAAACGTCGATGAAGATTGTTAGATCATTTTTAGGTTATCAGAGAGTCTTTGCCCAATGGTCGTTACCATAAATTTTCATTTTGCGAGCAGGTTTGCCGTCGGGCGATAAGTGGCATACCTTTTAGACATTTACGATTGTCCAAAGCAGGGACTCGTCCTGGTGCGCAATTCCATTTTCCATTTTTACATTCTGAATAGTCGATGGCGGCCTTGTCGGTTATGTTACAGGGTTCTCCGAGTTCTAGAAAAATATATTCATTTATATTTCATTGTCACGTTTCCGTTGAAGTCTTCTCTTTTTTTCAAAAATTATACGAAAGACGAAATATTGTCGAGAAGACTCCTCGCGGTAAGAATAATTAAATTTCTAAGCTGTAAATTAATCGACGAACCATAATTTAATCGCTGAACTATAACTGAATCGTCGAACCATAATTGAATCGCCGAACCATAATTGAATCGTCGAACCGTAACTTAATTGTCGAACCATAATTGAATCGTCGAATCATAATTGAATCGTCGAACCATAATTGAATCGTCGAACCAAAATTGAATCGCCGAACCGTAACTTAATTGTCGAACCATAATTTAATCGCCGAACCATAATTGAATCGCCGAACCGTAATTTAATCGTTGAACCATATTTAAATCACTGAACTATAATTAAATCGCCGAACCATAATTGAATCGTCGAACCGTAATTTAATCGCCGAACGTAATTGAATCGTCCAACCATAATTAAATCACTGAACCATAATTGAATCGTCGAACCATAATTAAATCACTGAACCATAATTGAATCGTCGAATCATAATTGAATCGCCAAACCATAATTGAATCGTCGAACCATAATTGAATCGTCGAACCGTAATTCGATAACCAAACTAATTCGATATCGAATTATGATTGCTAAACTAATTACTCAGCCGTTCAACTTACCAAGGACACAAGTTTTGTTTTTGCCTGGATAAAAATGTCCTGTTTTGCAGATGCATTTCCCTAGAGCGCTGCAGTCCGTATTGTTGACGAGTTTACAATCTCCGTCCGTTGTACAGTTACCGAAGTCGGATACTATAAAAAAAGCACGGACTTGCAACGGTTTGTTACGTAAGCCTGAAGTCGAACAATGAACGTATTACAAACCTGTATCGTTGGAATTTTCTTCTTTGTAAACGCTAAACATTGATTCGGTTATAGCGTTAAACTCCGCTTCGGTGCACTTGTTATCGCTATCGCAATCCGCGTTTTCATCGAATCTGCAGTCGTTCTTTATCGTACAAGCATCGCCAACTTCTGTGGAATTGAAAGCGGTGATAATCAAATCTCACGAATTAATAGTAATTTATTTCTGCAACATATATATACGCGACATTCGACCATAAATTATTCGATGACATCTGACGTAAATCTGACGTTGACATAGGCGGAAATTGTACAGCGGTCGCGCTTCTGTAACCTTGACTGTGAAACGATTTCTCAATTTTTGCGATAAAAATATATCCGTAATAATAAGCGATCTTTTTCTCATTTAAATCAATTCCTCGCTGAAATCTAACGTTGCCATAGGCGCAAATTGCACAGCGATCGCGATTCTGTAACCTTGACTGTGAAACAATTTCTCAATTTTTGCAATAAATATTTATCCGTAATAATAAGCGATCTTTTTCTCGCTTAAGTTAATTTCTCACTCAAATCTGACGTTGCCATAGGCGCAAATTGTACAGCGATCGGATCGCGCTTCTGTAACCTTGGCTGTGAAACGATTTCTTAATTTTTTCAATAAAAATATGTATATCCGTAATAACAACTGTTCCTTTTGTTTCACTGAAATTAATTGTACAAATGAATTATGGAGCAACGAGTAGTTTAGGCGAATCACAGGTGAAAACAGTTCTTACTTTTTGCTTCCGGACGACACGATCTATACTCGCGTTGATAATATCCCGGACTGCAGCTGCATTTTCCCTTATCGCAGTACGCTGCTCCGTATTCGGCATGCACGTAACAATCGACGTCGCTGTTGCACTTGTCGAACAGCCCTGCAGGATTACATTAATTTAATCGAACCGCGTGGGTATCGTTCGAACCGAATAAATCGCACGAATTACCTGAATATGCATTGCATCTTCCATTGAAGTAATAGTAACCATCGGCGACGCATTCGCAAGCATTGTTCAAGCACGCTGCGCCACTGTATAAACGTTTCGAGCATTCTATCGCCTCGGTGCAGTGATCACCGTATCCAGTTGCGACTGTTAATAATATAACAATGGGTTCCATCATTCGACTGCATTCTATTTATATTGTTTGTGTGATTTATTATTTTGTTAAACTTATATTTAGCTAAATATGTTCTCTCCATTGTTTTATTGTAAACATTTCTATGGTCATTTTGAACCAGCTATTAATATTTTTATAGGCGTATATTCTTAGCTACTTATTCTTATATTAGATTTTACTTATTCTTATACTTATATTCTAGCTACTTATTCTTTATAATACAGGGCGTCCCGAAAATGTCTCACAATCCGGAAATGACAGGTTCCAGAGGTGATTCGAAGCAACTTTTTCCTCTGCGAAAATGCAATCCGAGGCTTCGTTTACGAGTTATTAAAGAAAAACGGCGACCAATGAGAAGCGTGCTCGGCTGGCGCGAGGCGGTTCAGCCGACGCCCAGTTCCTCCCATTGGCTCGGCCTCCTCGCGGCAGCCAAGCTCGCCTCTGATTGGTCACTGTTTTTCGTTAATAACTCGTAAACGAAGCCGCGGGTTGCATTTTCGCTAAGGAAAAAGTTGCTTAGAATAACCTCAGGAATCCACCATTTCTAGATTGCGAGACATTTTTGGGACACCCTGTATACAATCAAGAGAAATTGTGTGTTCAAATTTTTCATGAGATTTTTGCGTAAAGAATATTTTCGGTCGGGTAAAAATAATTCTGGATTAATCGTCGTTTACCAAACCATCATTCCTCGATAATATTTTTAATTAATAATATTTTTAATTCAAATCAATTTTTAAAAATTGTTGACTACACGTTCAAAATAACTCAACATCGACAATTAGAGAGAAAATGGAGATCAACGCGTGCATAAGAAGTAGAGTAATGTCTCTCTAATTGACGCTCAGATTGTCCATAAAAATGGACAATTTGGGAAGAGGAGATGCGATTATTTGAGCCTTGCAGCTCGTTTTTATAATTGTTGAGAATCGGTAACTATATAAATGTGCCTCAAGACTACTCGAAAAATAGTGTCTCCTCTTCCCAAATTGTCCATTTTTGCGCACAATCTGAGCGTCAGTTAGGCAGACATTACTGTAACTCCTAAAATTAAATCGATCGATTAGAAAGTAGGATTAATGATGCACTTAAATATCGCCAATTCTGTAGCAGTAAAGAATGTCAGATTTTGGAGAACCTGACCTAGGACCTAATATCTGAATCATGATTGTCCACTTCGTGTAACGTACTTGGAACACACGCAGTCAAGCTTCCATTGATGACGTAACCATTAGCACATTGACATGTGGAGTCTAAACAATGGGTGTTCGGTATTTTGCAATCCGCATCCTTGCTGCACTTCTGCTCGATAGGATCACTTCCAGCATCATTTCCCGAATTGATACCAGCCGTCCGTCCTGAAATCAACGTTAATCACCGGTCATAAATTATGTTATGTTATGTTACTAGCAAGACCGTTATCCGGACAATGACTCTTTAAATCATCGAGTCGACCGTGTGGACCGTAAATGAAGTTTCTTTACGATCATTTAAATTGCACCGATGTATGTCTTTGATGATATTTTTAATACGTTTACTACGTTTTTATAAAATGAAAAAATATATATTTAAATATATAAAATAAATATATAAAATAAGATATATATAAAACAAAAATAATAATTTCCGTTTCTATAAAATTAAATTCATTTCTATCAGCCAATTTGAGCATGCAGTCAAGTATACATTAAAATTGGAAAATAAATATTTATAAATTTCTGTATAAATTGAGTCGAAGGTCTGCTCAAACATTAATAGTAACAATAAACAATCTTTCAAATAGACTATACCGTGTCTTTCAATTTTTGTTCTTAACGCATCGACTTCCAAGCTTATTTTGAAGAAATCTGTTCTAGACGTTCCAACGTTTCCTTTCTTTTAAGTAAATAAATAATAATAAATGATAATTACTAATAAATATGAAATAATAAATAAATCATTTCTTCCTTAGTAACGAACCTTTAACAGGGCGTCTACCACGAGATAAATCATGGTCGACAATGAATATGATTATCGCGTGTGGCACCGAATTTTGATGGAAAATCATTTACGCGATTTAACCATGATCGCGAGTGAGATAACTATAGCAATAGAAATGGTGTTATTCTCGTTCGACACTGAAAACTTCTTTCTGCTTTTACAAAGGTCTTTTCTGAACCTTTTTTCTCCTTACATTTCTCTCTCTCTCTCTCTCTCTCTCTCTTATCGATTTTATATTCTTTTACCTTGTTTCTTTACAATCGTATGAACCAACCCTCTTATTTCATCCCCCGTTTGTATACTAGCGTTTCCACTCGCGCGTTAAAATCTCCACTCACATTTCTCCTCCACCATTTCCATTCGCTACACACTTTTATTTATATTTTATTTTTCATTTTTATTTAACCCATTGCCGTATCAGCTTCTTTATAGTAATATTAATATAATAATAATATAATATTATAATATATAATAATATAATTATAATATTATTAATAATATATATAATAATATATATATGTATATATTAAATTATTCTTTTTTCTTCTTAGAAATTATATATATATATATATATATATATATATATATATATAATAAAATTTAAAAATAAACATTTATAATACATAAGTAAATGTTTAAATAATGATAATAAGAAATTCTAAATTTAATTTAGACCAAAAAGAACGGAATAGCATTCGTACTTGACAGATTATTGTTAGAAATCTCCGTCACGTGTCACACTCGTCAAATTACGGCAAGGTGATAACGTTCCTTTGACAAATTATTGTAATTTAACCTCTACTTTTAAATGAATCGGAACAATAAAAAATGTTCGCCTCGTACTACCCTAAATTTATTATTCAATGTATCACATCTTGTCTTTGAATTTCTATAAAATAATCTCGAAATGACGAAAAGTATTATCATTCAATGTATCACATCTTGTCTTTGTATTTCTATAAAATAACCTCGAAATGACGAAAAGTAGACATAAAATGCTTACTATATCGTTTCATCACAATTATCATATTATACATTGTACGAGTGCAACGAGGCGATAAACATGATCTCTCTCGAATCAAGAATTTCTTTTATTCCGAGCAGAGAGACCGTTCCGGCAGATCAAATAGCAAGATATCATTGTTTACATAATCTGACGCAAGATTAAACGACGCACGGATAAACGATTTTAGATAATCGAGCTCCGACGTTGCGCAAAAATTGTTACACAAGGCAGCCATGTGACCTTAGTTTTGACAATTTATAATTCAACGTTGATGCCAACAACGTCGATCGTGGGAGCAATTCTGTTTTCCCCGCGATCTTTTCAACTGCATAAAATCCAATCGCTTTCGTTAGTCAATTTTTCATCTTGTACTTTCACCGGAACAAAGATAATGCTTATCTAATGTTTCACTGAAAAAAGAAACGGACGACCGTCCGAAGACGTTCAATATTTATTCAACACGCGAACAAGTTTGATTACAGGCCGCCAGTCTCCTCGATTAGGTAATGTTTTTCAGTAACGGAACGCGTCGTTTCTTGGGAATATGTCAACTTCTGCGTAACGCGATCATTCAAACGACTGTTGCATTATGCCGATCTAAGATGCGTTCATTTACGTATCGCAGCGATGCGTGATAAGCGATCAAATACAGGGTGTCCCAAAAATGTCTCGCAATCCGGAAATGGCGGGTTCCTCGGATCATTTGAAGCAACTTCTTCCTTTACAAAAATGTTCTCCGAGGCACCGTTAACGAGTTATTAACGAAAAACAGTGACCAATGAGAGGCGAGCTCGGCTGGCGCGAGGCGACCGTGCCAATGAGCGGAACTGGGCTTCGCGCGCTGATTGGCTGGGCCGCCTCGCGTCAGCCGTACTCGATTCTTATTGGTCACTGTTTTTCGTTGATAACTCGTTAACGGTGCCTCGGAGAAAATTTTTGTGAAGGAAGAAGTTGCT